TCCCCACTCCCCAATCCCCTCCGCCTAAGCCCAAGCACCCCCCCCCTTCCCTCCAAACTGATCGGACGAGAACAAGTCACGCGCTGCGAGCTCACCACAACCCACCACCTCACCACTACACCTCCAACAATGGCCACCACCATTGTCATCAAGTGTGTCAGCTGCGGGGCCATGCTCGGCGTGCCCCCTCCGTCCGAGCAGCCGTCTCCGCTTGGCCAGTGCCCGTGCGGAGCCGTCATTCCGCTCAACGCTGTCAACTCGGCCGCCGCCGCGTCGTCGTCGCCGCCGGCTCCGGCTGCCCCCTCGCCCACCCCGGCCTCGCTCCCGGACGGCTGGGAGGCCCAAGTCGATGCTGCGTCCGGCCGAACGTACTACATTGACCACAACACCCGAACGACGTCGTGGAGCCACCCAGAGGCGAAGCCGTCGCCCGCCGCAGTCACCGATGTCGCCGCTGTCGCCGCCACGGCCTCGATCTCGTTCACCCTCAACGGCAAGCCGGTCACCATCGACTCGCCGGATCCTGCGATGTCGCTGCAGACCTGGCTCCGTGAGGTCGCGCTCCACACCGACGTCAAGCGGATGTGCACCCAGGGCGGGTGCGGCGCGTGCCTCGTCGTCCTCTCGGGGACAAACGCCGGGACCGGGCGGGTCGAGCACCTGGCCGTCAACTCGTGTCTCCACCCGCTGATGGCGGTCAATGGCTGGGCCGTGACCACGCCTATCGGCATCGGCTCGCAGACCTCGGGCTTTCACCCTGTCCAGCTTCGTCTTGCCGACAACAACGGCTCGCAGTGTGGCGCGTGCTCGCCTGGCCAGGTCATGGCCGCCTACGCGCTGTTCAAGGCCAACCCCAACGCGACCGAGCTTGACGTCGAGATGAACACCGACGGCAACATCTGCCGCTGCACCGGCTACTTTCCCATCCTACAGGCCTTCAAGTCGCTCGTCGCCTCGTCGGCCAAGGGCGAGCTCACTCGCGAGCACCTCACCCTCCCGCACGAAGCCGCCGCCGCTTCCTCTGCGGCCGCCCCTGTCGCCGTCAAAATGCCGGCCACCCTCGCCCGAGTCGCCGCTCCGACGGCTGCTCCGTGGTTTGCCCCGTCAACCATGGCCGAGCTCTTTGCCACCATGGCCACCAACCCCGGCGCCCGCCTTGTTGCCGGAAACACGTCGACAGGCGTGTACCCGTACCCGCCGGCCACCTTTCCGCAGGCCATTGTCGAACTCAACGGAGTCTCAGCCCTCCATCAGCTCTCGCTCTCGCCGACCGAGCTTACCGTCGGCGCCGGCGTCTCGCTCGCCCGCCTCCTGGCGTTCCTTCAGGAGCATGTGGCGGCGTCGGCCACGTTCCCGGCCCTTGTTGAACACCTGAACAAGGTTGCCAACACCCCCGTCCGCAACGTGGCGTCGTGGATCGGCAACCTGGTCATGACCCACGACCACGCCGACTTTCCCTCGGACGTCTTTACCATTTTTGATGCCGCCAACGCCCGGCTCACGCTCGCCACGCCGGCCAACCAGGCCGGCTCGGTCGTCGACTTTGGCACCTTCCTCACCACGTCGCTCGACGGAGTGCTGGTGACCAAAATGACGGTCCCGCTCTATGGCGCCGACGTCCAGTTCAAGACCTTCAAGGTCATGCAGCGCCACGTCAACTGCCACGCCTACGTCAACGCCGGCTTCCTCGTCTCGCTCGGCACGAGCTCGGTCATCAACTCGGCCCGCATCGTCTACGGCGGTGTCGCGCCGCGTGCTGTCCGCGCCCAAACACCGAGGCCTTCCTCGCTGGAAAGTCCGTCACTGACGCCGCCACCCTCTCGGGCGCGCTTGCCACCCTTGTCGCCGAGCTCAAGCCTAACGCCGAGCCCGGGTACCTCGCCTACCGCACCGCGCTCATCCCGGCCCTCTTCTACTCGTACTACTGCACACTGCTCCCGGCCGGCTCGGTCCCGGCAAGCCTCGAGAGCCTCGTCACGCAGTTTGAGCGCGGCGTCTCGTCGCACGCCGTCACATTCAAGACCGATCCGTCCGAGGACCCGGTCTCGGCCCCGATCTCCAAGCTCTCGGCCAAGCTGCAGGCCTCTGGCGAGGCCGTGTACACCGACGACCTCCCGCCGGCTGCGAACCAGCTCTTTGGTGCCTTTGTCCTCTCCACTGTTGCCTCGGGCAAACTGCTGAGCATCGACGCCTCGGCTGCGCTCGCCCTCGACGGCGTCGTCGCTCTCCTCACCGCTGATGACTTTCCAGCCAACGGCGCCAACGCCTGGTGGGCCGACCTGCCGGTCTTTACCCCAGTCGGCGCCGACATCGGCTTTCACGGGCAGGCCATCGGATTCATTGTTGCTGAGAGCCATGAGCTCGCCCTCGCCGCCGCCGCGCTTGTCACGGGCAACTATGGGCCTGGAGCGCCGCCGGTCTTCACCATCGACGACGCCGTTGCCGCCGGCCGCTTTGTGCCCGGCAACGAGGTGCCGATCACCCAGGGCGATGTCGCCTCGGGCTTTTCCTCGGCCCAGCACGTGGTCGAGGGCGTGTTGGAGATGCCGTCGCAGGCGCACATGACGATGCAAACCCAGGTCGCGTCGGCGGCCATCGTCGACGGCGACCTTGTTCAGCTCGACGTCGCCACGCAGTGGCCGGCCATGACCCAGACGACGGTCGCCACCGCCCTTGGCCTTGAGCACAACAATATTGACGTTGTGGTCCGCCGCATTGGCGGCGCCTACGGCTCGCGCATCTCGTGCGCCAACCAGCCTGCCGTCGCCGCCGCCCTCGGCGCGTACCTGCTGCAGCGCCCGGTGCGGACCCAGATGGACATTGAGACCAACATGAGGCTGGTCGGCAAGCGCTTTGCGCACCAGGCCAAGTACAAGGTCGGCTTCAACAACGACGGCAAGATTGTTGCCGTCCAGGTCGAGATCATCTCCGACTGCGGGTATGCCAACTCGGGCATGGGCTCGGCAACCTCGATGTACGTCGACAACACGTACAACGTGCCCAACTGGTCTATCACCGGCAAGTTTGTTACCACCAACAAGCCGCCGAACACCGCGTGCCGTGCTCCGGGTGCGCTCCCCGGCATCGCCTTTATGGAGCGTATCGTCGACCGTGTCGCCATCGAGCTCGGCGCCGACCCGGCCACCGTCCGCACCGCCAACTTTTACGTCGCCAACGACGTGACGCCCACCGGCGCCCCGCTCAAGTACTGCTCGATCGGCTCGCTTTGGGCCAAGCTCGCGTCGTCGGCCGACGTGTCTGCGCGGCTCGCGGCCGTCACCTCGTTCAACGCCTCGTCGCGGTGGATCAAGCGCGGCCTCGCCATGACTCCGGTCCGTTACGGCATTGGCTGGGCAGGCAACAACATGGCGACCCAGATCATGGTCAACGCAACTGACGGCTCGGTCTGGGTTCGCTCCTCGGGCATCGAGTCAGGCCAGGGCCTCAACGTCAAGGTTGCCGCAGTCGTTGCTTTGGAGCTCGGCATCCCCATGGACCTCATCAAGGTTCTCCCGGCCTCGACGTCGGGCACGCCCAACACTGGCGTGACGGGTGGCTCGATCGGCTCGGGCGAGTGCTGCGCCGCGGCGCTTATCGCCGCAAAGGAGCTCAACGCCGCGCTCGCGCCGGTCAAGGCCATGCTCACTAGCGCCGCCGCGGGCGCGCCGCCGGCCTGGATGGCGCTCGTCTCCAAGGCCAACGCCGCAGGCGTCAACCTCTCGGCCTACGGCTGGCTTGCCCCAAAGCCGCCGGCCGCCGGCCCGTTCCGCTACTCGTCGTACGGCGCGGCCGTCGCCGAGGTCGAGGTCAACGCGCTCACCGGCGAGACCCAGATCCTCCGCTACGACGTGCTCTTCGACTGCGGCATCTCGCTCAACCCGGCCATCGACGTCGGCCAGGTCGAGGGCGCCACCGTCATGGGCATCGGCAACTTTGTGTGCGAGGAGCTCGTGTACGACGCCACTACCGGCGCCCTCGTCACAGACTCGACCTGGACCTACAAGCCGCCGTCGTCGCGCGACATCCCCATCGACATGCGCGTCGAGCTCCTTCCCGACGCGCCCAACCCGACTGGTGTGCTCTCGTCCAAGGCCTCGGGCGAGCCGCCGCTCACCCTCACCGTCTCGGTCTTCCTCGCCCTCAAGAACGCCATCGCCGCCGCTCGCGCCGACGCCGGCACCACCGGCTTCTTCGCCATCGACCCGCCGCTCACCCCCGCCGCCATCCAGCAGGCCTGCCTCGTCTCGCTCAAAGATCTCACCTTTTAACCACATGCCACCCAGCATGCTTGTTGACGAGCTTCAACAAGAGATTAAGACAAACAACATCGCACAGGTATTCTGCTGCGTGTTGGTGGCTCTGTCCGAGCCTGGCACTCGGCGAGTCAGCCAGTCGGCCCGAGCGACACCCGTCTCTTCCCCCCCACCACCCAGCATGAAGAAGCGGTCGCGCGAGTCACCGCCTCCGTTTGCTGTGGACGACGCGTACCTAGAGGATGTGGAGATGGACCCGGAGCTTGAGCGAAAGCGGCCAAAGAAGTTTGGCGAGCGGACAGGCTCGTCTGCCTCGACTGCATCCTCGCTTACCCAGGGCTCGTTTACGGTGCCCATGGAGGTGCCCGGTGCCTCGTTGTCGGCCGCTGGCGACGGCGTCGACTTTACCTCCCAGGACACCATTCTCAAGTACAAGCGCAAGTGGCGCCGCGCTCCTACCGAGCAGCCGGACCCTTCCAATGACACCTTTGGTATGTGGGTGGGCGGATGGCGGGGATGGAGAGGGGGTGGGTGGAGGGGGGGGAGGGGGGGGAGGAAGGTGGCGATGGGGACATCGTGCTTGATTCTACGGTGGGCCTATCCACGACCTTTTTCGGGCGATTAGGGAGCACTCACACGCATTGAGCTGTTGGTGGGGGGGGGGGGCCCT